TGGAGTTTTTAGGGTTTTCTACATACAGGATCATGTCATCTGCAAACAGAGACGTTTACCTCATCCTTTCAATTTGCACTCCTTTTATTTCTTTTTCTTGGCTAATTGATTGGCTAGGACTTCCAAGAAAATTCCTTGTTGAGAATTCCTTACCTGAAATGTTTGGGATCAGAAATGTTTCAGATTTTTTTGGAGTTTGGAATATTTGCAGAATACCTACCAGTTGAGTATCCTAAATCTGAAAATTCAAAACCTGAAATGCCTCAGTGAGCATTTCCATAGAGCCTCATGTTGTTGCTCAAAAACTTTCAAATATTGGAGGATTTCGAATTTTGGGTTTTCAGATTTAGAATGCCCAGCCTGTAAGTATGTTTAAATAGAAGTGGTGAGAGTGGGCATCCTTGTCTTGTCCTGTATCTTTGAGAAAAAACTTCCAGTTTTTCCCTATTATGATGTTAGCTGTGGGAATTTTGCAAATGACCTTTACTGTGTTGGAGTATGTTACTTCTGTACTTACTGTTTGGAGAGTAAACTGAATGGATGTTGAACTTTGTCAGATGCCTTTTCTGCATCTATTTTTAATTCTGCTACTGTGGTGTATAACGTTATTGATTTGCGCATATTAAACCACTGTGCATCCCAGAAATAAATCTCAGTTAATCATGGTGTGTAATTTTTTAAGAAAAGATTTCAAATTTCGCTTTAAATATAGGGTATACATGTGCAGATTTGTTACATGGGAGTATTTTTTAAAATTTATTTTATTGCATTTTAGGTTTTGGGGTACATGTGAAGAACATGCAAGATTGTTGCATAGGTACACACGTGGCAGTGTGATTTGCTGCCGTCCTCCCCATCATCTATATCTGGCATTTCTCCCCATGCTATCTCTCCCCAACTCCCCACCCCCCACTGTCCCTCCCCTAATTCCCCCCAACAGACCCCAGTGTGTAGTGCACCCCTCCCTGTGTCCATGTGTTCCCATTGTTCAACACCCGCCTATGAGTGAGAACATGCAGTGTTTGATCTTCTGCTCTTGTGTCAGTTTGCTGAGAATGATGGTTTCCAGCTTCATCCATGTCCCTACAAAGGACACAAACTCATCGTTTTTGATGGCTGCATAATATTCCATGGTGTATATGTGCCACATTTTCCCTGTCCAGTCTATCATCGATGGGCATTTGGGTTGGTTTACATGGGAGTATTGTTAATGCTAAGGTTTGAAGTATGGAACCTGTCACCTCACCCATGTAGTGAGCGAGCAGAGTACTCAATAGGTAATTTTTTTGGTGCTGTTGGATTTGCCTTGCTATTATTTTATTGAGGGTTTTTGCATCTATGTTTTTTAGTGATATTGGTCTGTAGTTTTCTAGCAGTGTCTTTGTTTGATTTTGGTACCAAAGTGATGCTAGCCTCATAAAATGATTTTAGAAGTATTCCCTCTTATTTTATGAAAGAATTTAAGAAAGATTGGTATTAATTTCTCTTTGAATGTTTGATAGAATTCACTGTGAAGTCATCTGGCCCTGGGCTTTTCTTTGTTGAGAGGTTTTTGATAACTTCTGTAATCTTCTTCTTCTTGGTCTGTTTAGGCTTTCTACATCTTCTTGATTTAATCTTGGCAGTTTGCATGTTTCTAGGTATTTATCCATTTCTTCTGTGTTATCTAATTTGTTGTCATAGAATGTTCGTAATAGCTCCTTATGATCTTTTTTATTTCTGAAAAATCCATTTTATGTTTCCTCTTTCATTTATTTAAACCTTCTCTTTTATTTTTTTAGTCTTTGTAAGGGGCTGTTGACTTTATCTTTTCAAAAAATAAGCTCTGAGTTTTGCCATTTTTTTTTTTTTTTTTTGCGTTATATTTTGTCGTTGTTTTAGTTTTTATTTTTAAGGCAGAGTCTCACTCTGTTGGAGGCTGGAGTGCAGTGGTGCGATCTTGGCTCACTGCAATCTCCTCTTCCCAGGTTCAAGTGATTCTCCTGCCTCAGCCTCCTGAGTAGGTGGGATTACAGGCACCCACCATCACACCTGGCTAATTTTTGTATTTTTTAGTGGAGATGAGGTTTCACCATGTTTGCCAGGCTGGTCTCAAACTCCTGACCTCAGGTGATCCACCTGCCTTGGCCTCCCAAATGCTGGGATTACAGCGTGAGCCATCGTGCCCAGCCTAGTTTTACTTTTTTTTTTTTTCCTATTCTCTGTTTTATTTCTACTCTAGTCGTCTTATTTCCCTTATCTGCTTATTTTGGGCTTAGTTTGTTACTGTTTTTCTAAATCCTTTAGGTGTGAAGGTAGGATGTTTATTTGAGATCTTTTTATTTCCACTTTGACTTTTATTTCTATAACCTTCCCTTAGCACTGCTTTTGCTTTCCCATAAATTTTGGTATGTTGTGTTTTGTTTCTGTCTCAAGATAATTTAAAATTTTTCTTTTTTAATTCCCTCTTTGATCAATGGTTGTTCAAGAGTGTGTTGTTATGTTTGTGAATTTTTCCATTTTCTAGCTGTTATTTCTAGTTTTGTACCACTATGGTCAGAAAAGATACTTGGTATGATTTTGATCTTCTTAAATTTGTTAAGTCTGATTTTGTGACCTAACATGGGAGTTATCCTGGAGAAAGTTCCATCTCTGCTTGAGAAGAATGTGCAATCTTCTGCTGTTGGTTGGCAAATTCTATTTATGTCTTTTGGGTCCATTTGATCCATAGGGTTATTCAAGGTCACTGTTTATTGATTTTTCTGTCTGGATGATTTATCTATTATTAAAAGTAGAGTATTGAGCTTTCTTTCTATTATTATATTGCTGTCAATTTTTCTTTTAGGTTTGTCAATATTTGCTTTATATACTTAGGAGCTCCAATACTAGATGTGTATATAGTTACAATTTTTATATCTTTCTATTGAATTTACCCACTTTCATTATATAATGACCTTCTTTGTCTTTAGAGACAACTTTTAACTTAAAGTCTATTTTGTCTGACATAAACTCAGCCACCCCTGTTTACTTTTGGTTGCCGTTTGCATGGAATATCTTTTTCCATCCCTTTATTCTAAGCTTTTACGTGTCTTGTGAATCTGAACTGAGTTGATTGTAGACAGCATATAGTTGGATCTCTAATCCAGTCAAATCCTCTTTATATAGGCATATCTCATTATATTGCACTTTATTGCATTTCACAGATACTACATTTTTACAAGTTGAAGGTCTGTGGTAACCCTGCATTGAGTAAGTCTATTGGTGCTATTTTTCCAACAGCGTGTGCACACTTCATGATTCTATGTCACATTTTGGTATTTCTTGCAATATTTCAAACTTTTTCATTATTATTATATCTGTTATGATCTGTGATCAGTGATCTTTGATATTACTACAAATGTGCTGTTACCAACAGAGTTGTAAAGCTGAAATAAATTTTTCTAGACCATGAATAATAAAAGTAATTTCTGTAACTGTGAGAGAGAGGAAAGACAAAACTGTGTTTTTGTTCTCTTTATTGAAAATAAAATTACAAAATTGTTAGGTGTGGTGGTACCTTTCTGTAGTGTCAGCTATTCCGGAGGTCGAGGCAGGAGAATCACTTATGCCCATGAGTTTGAGACTGACCTGGGCAACATAATGAGATCATGAATCCAAAAAATATCATAAAATTATTGTCATATGAAGAAGTGATCAATGTAGGAAAAAATTCCTATAAAAGGGTATCGGGCAGTTAATTTTAATAATTCTAATAATTTTTTTTCTGAGTACTGTGATGTTTGTGGCATTTATAACTTAACATTGTTGTAATTATGCTTTCTTATTATTGTATACTAAGTTTGTACCCAATTAACAATGTTTCCTAAATTGTACAAGCTTCAGGCCTCATAAAATTTGAATTTGTTCCTGCTCAGTAGTATAGCTAGACCTCTTTTGGATTATTTACCTAAATAAAGGATGGATTGTATTGGTCGCCCTCTTGTGATACTTGTATTTCCAGGAAAATTATTGAGAAGAATTTGTGGGTTGGGAATGGTGGCTTATACCTGTAGTCTCAACACTTTGGAAGGCCAAGGAGGTGGATCACTTGAGCCCAGGAGTTTGAGGCCACCTTGGGCAACATGGTGAAACTTTGTCTCTGCAAAAAAATAACAAAAATTAGCTGGGCATAGTGGCACTCACCTGTTCCAGCTACTCAGGAGGCTGAGGTGAGAGGATCGCTTGAGCCTGGGAGATTGAAGCTAGAGTGAGCTCTGTTCTCGCCATTACACTCCAGCCTGGGTGACAGAGCGAGACCCTGTCTCTGAGAAAAAAACAAACAAAAAAAGAATTTGTGACTTGGACTAGTTTTATTTCCTGTGGAACTCCTAACTAGCCTGCTCAGAAATTATGCTTTTGATTTTGGCCTTATTCGCATCTAACATAATGTTCTGGTCAGCTGATATAACACACTTAATGTTGGTGGCAAATGCTGCACTTAATTCATTATAGGGCTTTTAAGCTACGTAGTAAAAGCACAAAATTTCTAATCAAATATTAATAGCTATCCATCCTGCCTATATGTATTCTCCTTGTGATTTAAAATCATAGATAAGCCACAGTTCAACTTCTTAAAATTTTACTTTGTAGAAAATTTTAAAATTGAATATATAAAGAAGTATGCAAATGCCCTCAAAATCTTACTACTTGGATGGTAAGAAGGATGCTATTATTTAAAAATATACTTTGTAGTACTAGACTCTGAGTTGGGAGATCTTGTATTTCGCGGGCTCTAGATTTGTGAGTAATTTGCTGTATGACTTTGGGCAAGTTAATTCCTCATTAAGGATTAGTCTTCTCATCTAGAAAGAGAGATAATAATATATTGTAGGGTTGTTGTGATGTATTTGGAATTTCTAAGTAGTTAGTAAAGTGCTTTCTAAATCATAAATTGCCATATAAATTAATTTTTAATTTTTTTTTATAATTAAGAAACCTTATAGAAACAAATCCTCTTTTTTTTTTTTTTTTCACTATTACAGCTACAAAGATGGCAACAAAACTACCAGCTTGAAAACTTGGAATAAAAATGATTTTAGGCCTCAATGTAAACGAACAAACTTAGTGGCAAATGATGGAAAAAGTTCCTGTCCAGTGAGTTTGGGAGCTCCGCAACAAAAACAATTAAGAGTACCTGAACCTCCTAACTTATCTTGCAACAAAGAAAACGAGCTACCTAGACAAACACATTCATCAAAAATATTTGGTTCCACAATGAGAGGGCTAGACAAAAGCAGTGCATTACAGACATTTAAGCCCAATTTTCAACAAAATCAATATAAGAAACAAATGTTGGGTGATTTTCCAGAAGAAAACACTCTGAAGGTAAATGTTTAAATATCAATTAATGACCTATTCACATTTTTTAAAATGTGAGGTAAATATTTAGAAATTTACAGAGATAAGGGCATCTGAAATCAATTCCATGACATAAACATTGCTTGATTAGCATAAATATTCATTTCCATTGAAGTGGGTGAATGTTAGTTTCCAGAATATTTTCTTAGAGGATATGAATGGCTGCTTCTTTTCCTTTAAAACTTTAGAGTTTTCTACTGGATTTTTGACTTTCACTTTATACTCATTTTAAAGATAATGATAGTTTATCTATTGTTGGTGAAGTTACCCAGGCTCTTCATAGGTAATTCTAAGTACTTTTCAACAGAGGTCAACAAACATTTTCTTTAAAGGGCCAGTTAGTAAGTATTTTTGGCTTTATGGTCCATACTGTCTCTGTTGCAGCTACTCAGTTCTACTCAACTCTGCGACTGTAGCTTGTAAGCATCTATAAACAATACGTAAATGAATGTGCATAGCTGTCCTCCAATAAGCATTTACACTAACAGATGGCAGGTTAGATTTGCACTGCAGTCCATAGTTTTCTTTATGATCAACCTATTATGACCTTTGCTTTATGATCTTGTCCTATTCTACCTTTGTAGCCTCATATTTCATATTTTACTAATTGTCCAATGCTCTAGCCACTTCGGACTCATCACAATTCTCTAAACATAGCATACACTCTGCTTTGGTTTATATTCTTCCCTATACCTGTATGCTAACTGTACTTCCTTTCTACACTCAGTGCTCTAATTATTCTTTGTAAATGTTATTTATATATTATGTGTGCTGGTTATTCCTCGTCTCTGCTCCCTGGCCCCTCGGCCCACTTGATTCTTCACCTGCCCTTCTCTGTTCTGGAAGGCTGAATTGTCCTACAAAGTACATCATCCTGAGATTCTTTACTTGCTGGCTTTTGCTAGAGGTCATCCAGTAGGAGTCACTGGTATGACATCAAAGGGTGGGAGGAAAGATTGAGTTTTCTTACTTTCTCCAGTTGTAAATGTTCTATCAGCAGCAGTGGCTGTGTCACTGCATGATGTAGCGTTTTCATGACTATAGCTTTCCTGAACTTGATACTTTTATTTTCTCCTCTTGTCCTTTCAGCCTAGGATTGCTAACAGCTTCTTAATGTTGTTAGTTTTTGTTCTACCTGTGTGTCTGAAAAAGCGTAAGCCATTGAGGTAAAATCTGTTTTTGCATGTTTTGTTTTTTGTTGGAGAAAAGACTAATAAAGCATGTTTCACAGCGGTTCTCAACTTTATGTTTCCTTGCACTCAAGAATTGTATGACATAATCACCTTAGTAACGGGTTTACTGTGGCCATAATCATCAGCAGGAGGCATGTTAGGATCTTGGTTAAAAGGGGGAAGAAGGAAGAAACTACTTATATTTTGAAGAAAAGTTTCATCATGTATTCTTCACAACCGTCACCCTCACAAAGGAGAGTGTCCCCCTACCTTTGAAAATTGGTATCTTAACACACTTAATTCTTAGCTGATCTTAAAAAATTCTAAGAACTTTTCAGTCTCAGGGCTTTTGTACTTGCTGTTCCCCCTGTCCTCATTCAACAACCCACTTAAAATAATAACCCCCGTCTCTCTCTCTCTCCCTTTATGTTTTTTTCTTAAAAAAATACATTTCCTGACATTCTGTTATATGTTATTTATTTTATAAATCCTCCACTAGACTAAAATCTTTGAGAGTGGATATCTTAATTGTTTTGTCTACAAGTGTTTCCTTAATAGCTATGTTTGGCAGGTAGGAGGTGCCCAGTAAACACTTTTGAAACAAGTAAATGAATGAATGAATGTGTCTGGCTCCTTCCTTAGAGTGTGAGTGCATTAGGGAAAGGAATGGCCTTACCTATATTTGTCACAGGATCTGGCATATGATGCTTTAAAATATTCAGTGAATGAATGAGTGAACAAGTGCCCATATAAATAATTCTCCTCTTGATTAATTGTCTCCAAGTGTACCTTGGTTTCTCCTCCTCCAATAGAGTAATGATGGCGTTAATTTAGGGAGGTAACTAAAATTTTCAGTAGTTCTTTTTACACATTTATCCATTATAAGGACTCAGAATTTCTACATAGAAGATAAATGAGTATGATGAAAAGAGAAATATTTTTCTAATGCTATGTTTTTTATTTTTTCAAAAGGAAACCTCATTGTATCAGGTACAGTTTAAGGAAAAAGACAATTCTTTAAGAATTATTTCTGCAGTTATTGAAAGCATGAAGTATTGGCGTGAACATGCACAGAAAACTGTACTTCTTTTTGAAGTATTAGGTAGGTAAAATACTTCAAAAATACTTCAGTAATACTACTTGGACAAGTTTTAATGTCTGATTAGTCCTTTTTCTTCCAAATAAAACAGTCTGATTTTTGCTATTCCCTAAAGTGTATTCAAAGGACTGAAGTTTTAATAATAGTCCCTGTGGTAGGTAGAATAATACCCCCTAAACACGTCTACATTATAATTACCCAAATTTGTGAATGCTACCTTATATGGCAGAAGGGATTTTGCAGATGTAATTAAGTTAGGGATCTTGAAATGGGAAGATTTTCTTGTATTACTTGGGTGGGTTCAGTGTAACCACAAGGGCCCTTTATACAAGAAAGCATCAAGGTCAGAGTCAGAGAGAATGAAAGATGCTACCTTGCTGGCTTTGAAGATGGCGGAAAGCGCCATGAGCCAAAGAATGCAGGCATCTTCTAGAAGCTGGAAAAGTTAAGGGAACAGACACTACTCTAGAGCCCCCAAAAGGATCATAGCTTTGATGACTCATAGACGTCTGATCTCCATAATTATTAAAATAATGCTTTTGTGTTGTTTTAAGCCAGCCACTAAGCTTGTGGTAATTTGTTATAGCAGCAACAGGAAAGATACAGCCTCCTTCTCCTTATATTTATATATAAATGTAAATATAAATGTGTATATATAAGGAGTAGTGGTCAGTTAGCTGCAGTTGCCCTCTAAAGGCAGCTGATGACCATCCCTAGCCCACTCAAATCACTGTACTAAGTGTATAAGTGTATTTCATCTATCCGTCACTGAGTCAAGTTCTGCCCGACAGACCTCAGCAAGTAGTGATCAGTGTCTCGGATTTCCATCAGTGCATTCATTTCACATGTTTAACTTTCACCTAAAAATGATTCCAGTTTCTGTCTTGTTACCATTAAGGAAAAAGCTTTATTATATGAAGTGACATTGGATTCAATAGAGACTCAGACTCTGAGTAAACACACTGTATTAGTTTTCAATTGCTGCTTAACAAATTAATGGAAACTTAGCAGCTAAAAACCACACCCACTTCTAACTCAAGTTTTGTAGATCAGAGGTCCATGTGGGTTTGACTGTGTTCTGTATTCAGGATATTACAGTGCCAAAATCAAGGTGTTGGCTGGGCTGGTTTTGTTCAGTTTTCATTTTTGGCTTTTTGGAGGTTTCCATGCCTCTGGCCTCTGGAACTCCCATATACTTCAGGGATTCTTCATCAAGTCCTACTCATTTTGCCTGAAGCATATTTCTGAGCTGATTGGTATGGCTGTTACTACTCTACATTGAAGCTTGTCTTAGCTGTTATTTTGTTCAGTTCTTACTGGTAGCTATATAACTGCAGTAGCAGGTGGTATTCTGTTTCATGTCTGTTTTCTGTCAGAACTAGAATACTGTCGGAGGTAGAACGTCTATTTCAAATATCTTAAACCCTGTTGGACTTCCCACTAAATTGCTTTTTTCTGTGTGAAGGATGCCTTTGGCTCTCACCTCATTTGCAGAATAGAAATATTAAAAAATAGCCTGAGCCTATTAAAAGGATGTGCTAATTCCATTCATTTCCCCAGGTTCTCTCTGGTGAATTGTTCAGGTTCACTCCAGAATAATCCTTTTAAAAATATCACAATACCCAATATAAACAGCAGTAGACATTCTTACTAGGAAATGAAGGGGTTCCATGCTTTTATATGTGATGGTTAGCTTTCATAGTGCTTTAATAATCCTGAGTTCTAGGCTAGACTCTAAACTTACCTGAGGTAGATACTTCCTTTTTGTTAGACTTTAATGTCTAGCACACTGCACAATATATAGGAAGTCCTTTTCAGTTACAAGGCCCCCCCACCTCCCCCCAAAAAACAACTTTAGTGGCTTTTAAACAGTAATAGAGAATTATTCATGAAACTGAAAAGCAGCTGGGTTTTTGACTTTAGGCAAAGCTTGATCTAGCTGCTCAAGAGATGGCACAGTGATTTCTCTCCATCTTTCTGGCCTGTCATAGTGTTGGCTTTATCTTAAGGCTCCACACCATAGTCTCTCCAGAAGCTTCTGACTCTCCCCTTATGGTAGCAAGCTGATTATTAGATTTCTATGGACTATACATTCTTATGCCACACTGTCACATTCTTAGGTTTTTCTTCTGGTTGCTCTTCCCTAGAAACCAACAAATGAGTCTTTGCATATAATCATTTCTGAATGTAACACACCCGGTACAGAAACCCTGAACTGTGTAGTTGAGTAATAAAATACGCTGATTAAATTAAGCCACTCACAGTTCACTCCTGGATCTGAGGATGGGAACAAATCCTATCCAAATAATGTGGCTAAAAATGGAATTTTCCTAAAGGATAACTGGGTCTTATTTAGAAGAAATGGAGGCCAGCCTCAAAATAACTCAGTAGATGGTTATTAAATAAATGAATAATGCTGTCATTTGATAATAGTTTTTTGAGATAAACATGAATTACAATTTGTATTTTATAGGTGAAGAAACCGATTTGAAAGTGGTTAAAAAATTTACTCAAGGAGGAGGGAATAGGGAGATGTAGGTCAAAGGGTACAAACTTGCAGTTATGTAGGATGAATAAGTCTAGAGACTTAATGCACAGAGGACGTCTATAGTTAATATTACTGTATTGTATATTAAAAGTTTGCTAAAAGAGTAGATTTCAGGGGCTCTTACCACACACAAAAAGCAGTGGTGGGTATGTTAATTTGCTTGCAATAGGAATTATTTTTTATATATATATATATATATGAATGAAAATATGTTGTATGCCTTAAATGTGTATAGTGAAAATAAATTAAAAAGTCAGTTTGCTCAAAGTCACAAAATATTAGTAAGTTGAAGGACTGGGATTTGAACACCTGACTCCTGATTCTAATTCAATGTTTCTTTTTTCATTAAATTATGATGCTTATTTGTTATACCTGTGCATTTTATTATTATAATACTGTAGACTGTTCTGGGGATTTAACCACTCTATACTGCACATTCTAAGGAAAAAGTTTCAGATGGCCATTTATTGTCAATTGTATAAGCCTGACATATGATCTGTTCCTAAGTTGGAGAGATTCAGAAGTTTTGTTTTCCTTCATATAAAACTGTCTGAGAAGTATCTTCCCTTCTTAAAATGTCTTCTTTATTATTACTGTATAAAAAGAACTATAAATAATATGAACAGTTATTTAAACATCAACTTTGTTAAATTTTATTTGCAATTTACCAACATTTATTTTTTTCCCCCATTTCAATATTGTTTAGCTGTTCTTGATTCGGCTGTTACACCTGGCCCATATTATTCAAAGACTTTTCTTCTGAGGGATGGGAAAAATACTCTGCCTTGTGTATTTTATGAAATTGTGAGTATTTTAAAAGTATTCTTTGCAAAGCCTGTGTCAACAAAATATAAAAGTGCAGTCTACAATTCAGTTGAAATAGAAATTCTGTTAACAGTTTAGTCCTTTCAACACTTTGGTTTTAGTTCTGATGTGAAAATTGTTTATTTGTATTATATGAAGAGCTTCTATGTGCCAGGTATGGTGCTGGATGCGAGGGATATAAAGTGGGATATAAATGGTAAATGGCTCTTTCTCCCAAAGAGTTTGTAATCCCAGGTAGAATGGTACAGAAATGTTACACTGTGGTAAGCTGAATGGCATGGTGGAGCTAGGTATGTGCAGGGTGCTAAAGAAGTAGGTAAGAAAGATGGGGCAGATCAGGGAAAGATTTTTAAAGAAGGTGGTAACTTATCCTAGATCTTTAAGGACTAATAAGAATCAACTCAGCCAAATGTGTTGTGGAGGGAAAGAAGAATGTAGTCTAACGTGAGGGAGCAGCATATGCAAAGACATGAAGCTAAGAGAGCTTCACTTGTTTAGGGAACTGAAAGTAGTTGGCTTGGTGACACAGAAGTCTAGAAATTGCAAAGGAGGCTATAGACCTACATACATTGAGGCTGTATAGAGCTACATACTTTGTAAAAGTTTAACCTTAGTTCTGAAATTGTCCTCAATTCTGAAGTCAGACTTGGATTCTAGCATTTACTCCAGCATTTACTAGTTTTATGACCTTAAGTAACCTGCTTAAATTACTTGAATTTCAGATTTAAAAAAAATCTATCAAAGGGGGAAACAAATTCCTACTTTAAAAGGTTGTTGTGGAGATTAAATGAGACATGAATATACAGTGCATGACACATAGTAGGTGATCAAGAAGTAATTGTCATGTCAACTCCTATAATATTTTGGATTAGTATTATTTTTATCTAGTCTGATTTTTTTTAAAAAAACTTTGTTATTGAAGTATAACATTTACAGAAAAGTATAAAAATCATAACTGTACAGTTCTAGGAAGTATCACAAAGTGAATGCTACCCAGGTTAAGAAATAGAACATTGCCATCACCCGCAAACCCTTTTGTGCCTCTTCCTATTCATTACCTCTTGTCTTCTACCTACAAGCAACCACTAGCCTGGCTTTTAATGTCATCAATCCTGTTTTGAACTTTATAGAAACAATATCATACAGTATGTCTTTTAAAATATTTGATTTCCTTTACTTGACAAAGTGTTTGTAAAATTCATCTATGTTGTGTGTAGCTGTAGTTCACTCATTTATATTGCTGTGTATAATATTATGTTGCATGAATATACCACAGTTTTCTATTTCACTGTTGGTGGGGATTTGGGTTTCTGGATTTTTGCTGTTATACGTAATGTTCTGTGAACATTCTTATCTATGTCTTTTATGCATTTGCATGTATTTTTGTTTGATATATACCGAGAAGTAAAATTGCTGGGTCATAGATCATGTGTATAGTAAAATATAGTAGTTATTGTCAAAGAATTTTTCAGAGGATTGTGTCAATTTAAATACAGGCAATGTAAGAGAGTTGTGATTTCTCTGTATTCTTACCAATGCTTAGTATTGTCAGTCTTTTTTATTATAATCATTCTGGTGAGTAAGTTTAGTATTATTTCTTTACAATTCTCTGGGGAGTAATGAGTTTGAATACCTTTTCATATGCTATTTGGATATCTTCTTTTGTAAAGTCTGTTTGGGCATCTTGCTGTTTTTTCTATCAAGTTATTTGTCTTTTTCTTACTGATTCTAGGAATTTTTTAAAACTATTCTGGGAATAAATTTTCTGTCCATAATGTGCATTGCAAATATTTTCTCACATACATGGTTTGCTTTTTCACACTTACTGATGGCTTTTGATAAATGGAAGTTTTTCATTTTAATACAGTCCTTTCACCAATTATCAGTCTTTTCCCTTGTAATTAGTGCTTTTTGTGACTATTTAATGAAAGCAATTCAGAATGCTTTAATTTTATTCATAATTAAGAGGATTTGGAGATTGCTAGTCTTTTTCTGATTTACTTGTCTCTAAAGACAGCACTTTTGAGTACCAACTGTAAGCCTTGGGTCAGAGTTGGCGTGGTTACTAGAATCTCTTTTCTTTCGGGGCCTCAGACTTGTTCTCCACATATACAAGTCTGAAAGCTCTGCTCAGTTTCTTAGAATCTCAACTGCCTTTCTGTAATTTGCAGATATCTCAGGGAGAAAGCACCCCCCAAATCAGGTTTAATCTGCGACTCCCATACTCTTCTAGATGGGGAGGGGGTCTCTGTAATTTCACACTGTTTTGATATCTCTCTGATGCTTATGAGGATTTTTTTTTTTTTTTTTT